AATATTAAAAGAAAGTTACAATTAGTAAGTACTAGAAGATTCATGAAAAAAGACAAGAGACAGGGAGCACTAGAAACTGGATTGTAAACAAAGGATTTATGGAAGAGGAAGAACTTGAACTGGGCTTTGAAAGAATCAAGAGGGTTAAGTCCCATACAGAAAGGGGAATTGTTGAAAACTTCCAACTAGGATAGTGGAGTGATTAAGGCTGTGTTTTAGAGAGAGATATTTGGTAGTTACAATGCCTTTGTTCATGCTAGATAACTTATCTGAATCTTTTCCCCACTTCCAACCACTATCCTCACGCTTCTGGATAACTTCTCTTAGTCCTTAAAACCAAGTTTAGGTTTTAGAAAGCTTTTCTGATCTTTCCATCCAAGATAACACAACATCTTCCCTTTTCCCTACTGAGGAAACTTTTCCTTGTACCTTGTGTTTATTTCTGCCTAGCAGTTATATTATTATTTCATCTTCCTCAATGGACAAAAAAACTTCTTGAGGTTAGAGCTATGCATATTTCATTTCTGTGACACCAGCACAAAGGATGCATCTGAAAAATAGCAGTTGTTCACTGAAAATTGTTGCTCTAATCTGAAGAGTTGTGGTGTTCGAGATGTGTTAAAGAGAGAAAGACAGGAGCCCAAAAGATCAGTTAAGAAACCACTGCAATAATTTGGCACAAAGTGAGTAGTGTTTAAAGGGGACAGGCTCACTGGGGATAGTAAGGAACTGGTGAAATAGAAAGATTATTGGAGTATTGACTAATGAGATATGGGTTATGAAGAAATAGATTGGAGTTTCTAAATTTGACATACTAAGAAAATGAGAAGACAGTGATTTCTTATTCTTTTGTAGCAGTCCTTAGATGTGCACCCGAGACTTCTAGAGAGTTCTGTGGTAGAACTCAGAGAGTCCTCGAAGCCCTTGAAACTATTAGCGAGTTAATGCATAGAAGGTCTTACATATATTTTCCTTGGGAGAGGCTTCATAGTGGTCAATGAATTTTTGGTGGTCTTGGACTTTAAACTGTTAAATACTACAGTTCTATTCAAAAGTATAGTAATAACTAAACAACAGCCATAGTCTTTCTGAGAGGTACCATTTTTAAAAAAATATTGACTGATGTGGCATCTCATAGTATCTTTAACAAGTGTTGAAACAAGATCATGGAAAATAGAACATAATACTGAAGACAGAGAGCTTTGCCACCTTTTTACTATGTAAATTTAATTAGCTTACCTAAGATTTTTCTTTCACTGTTAAATGGGACAATGATAATAAATGCCTCAGAGTTATTGTGAGAGTTATATGAAGTCATGTTGATAACACTTTAGTATTCGATATTATCTCTTGTTCTTATTATTATTTCACTCAGTTTTAACACATCTAATATAATGCCAACACTGTCCTAGATGCACCTCTTTACCATACCTCAGTTAATCCTCAAGATAAATTTGATAGAGATCAGTTTCTATATAGAAACAGGTACAGACAGGTAGCTGTCTTGCCTGTGGTTACACAGCGAACATATGGCAGAGCCAACATCGCAAGAGTCAGAAAACAGGTGTAATATAGCAGGCACGAGGGGGAGCACAGAACAGAGCAAATGTCAATGACACTATGAGCAGCAAGACATGTGGATTATGGAATCTTTGGAAAAGAGACATCACCTTCTGTAGGACACGAAATATGTTCTTACTGGGTTAGACATCAGTCCCAGGTTTGGCCACGCTTGGATCTTTAAACAGGTGAATGTTACTGTTATGGGTGAGAGAAAGTGGTAAACGAAGCTGAATATGAGAATAGAAATGCCATGACCAGCTGCTGGAGGGATTACAAAATGTTCACGTACTTTAACATATTGGATACTGATCCAAATTGGAATCGAGTTTACATTAAACAGTGTCCAGATATGTTTTGTATGTGACAGAAAGCATTTTTAGTTCACTCCTTGAGGCTAACAGAGTTTTTCCTACATAGATACACACGCACACACACAGTCTAGGTGATTGGTCAGAAAGTGACAAAAACTACCATGTACTCATATAACAGTCTAGGTCCGCCACTGTCAAGGATTGTGTCACGTTTTTATCCTCATGGGCAGACCTAAGATTTGGTTTGGTTGGCTCTAAACCTGAACATTTCAAGGATGACTCAAGCCCACTGTATCAAAACCGGGATTCTAAGTATTAAGGATAGGGACCCCAAGGAGACCCATCCAAGACTTTTTGTCAAAAAACAAGAGTCTTTAGTATAAGGGGGAAGGAAGGGACACCACCAATCCACAATAGGGCCTGCAGACCAGGAGTGGATTCATCTTAAAATGGAAATTCTAGGGCAGCCTGGGTGGCTCAGTGGTTTAGCGCCGCCTTTGGCCCAGGGCGTGATTCTGGAGACCTGGGATCGAGTCCCACGTTTGGCTCCCTGCGTGGAGCCTGCTTCTCCCTCGGCCTGTGTCTCTGCCTCTCTCTCTCTGTGTGTCTCTCATGAATAAATAAATAAAATCTTTAAAACAAATGGAAATTCTGAATTGTTTTCTTCATTTTCTGCACCTGTTGTCTGTGCTGAGCCCCTTTAAGCCCAGTGGTTCTGTATGGCAGTAATTTGACAAAAGTTAATGTTTACATATGCGAAACACTCATTTTATGATTACTTAATTGTCTATTCAGTCTTTTTGCTGCGTATTCTTTTATCTTTAGATGTATTCTTTTGACAATTTTAGATGAGGGTCAAGAAAAGGGGGAAACGAACCACATCTAAAATAAACATTAAGACTCACATAATTTGCAAGAGGCACATAATTAACACTGTATATATATTTATTGAGATTATGATTTCAAATTATATTTTGATTAGAAGGCAATGTGGGTTAGCACATTGACTTGGAATGGACCTGAGTTTGAATACCAGCTTTGTGGTTTATCTTAAACTTGAGACTGGAAATCAACCTCTTCAATCCTCCACCCTCTTAATTAATGGGAATAATGCTAACTTCCTCAGGTTTTTGTGAAGATTAGAAACTGTAATCTCTATTAAGTGTCTAACACATAGAAGTGCTACTTCACACCTGGCTATTCATGACTCCAGTAATTACGGATAATTAGTAATTGGCTGTAGATTATACTTTTATTAAATGGTTGAATAAGTTTCTATTGCTGTAGGTTTCATTGGACTATATTATGAGCAGGACTGTAGCTTAAATGACTCTCCACCAATAATTAGGCATTATTAAAAGTTGTAATAAGTCTTCCAGGATTCTTGCCATTATCCTAAAACTATTATGCTAAAAATAGCCAGTTTTTAGGTGAACTAGAACATTTATTTTCCACCTTTTAGATGCCTACACTCCATTTAGTTGTTAAAAGGAGTGTGGTAATAAAAACAGGAAAAAAAATGAAAAGATTTCAAAACCATCAGGCTGCATATTATCTTTCTTAGCTGGAAGTGGAAAGAAAGAAGTTGAAAACAGTGGCATAAAACAAGCTATTATCATTATCAGTAGATTTTAATGCCCATGTTGTGGCCACCCTTGGGGCTCTGCATAAGTTAATATTTTCCAAAAGTACATAATATTTTACCAAGATATAATTCAGGCCCTGTACATTTCTGCCATAGCATGTTCATTTTTCTGAAGAATTATAATTAAAAAACTTGTTCAGTATTTGGCAACTAAAACAGTAATCTAATTGGACTGATTGCTCAAGCTGATTTCCAGCCCTGGGTATGGGCCTGCCTATTAGCTAAGCAAGGATCCTGTTCTCGACCAGCCTTGCCTGTATCCAAACTGGAGAGCACAGGGGCAAAGGCTCATCAGTTCAGGCCGAGCTCCTTAGGCAGGACTTGTCCTGGAATTTCACTGATGGAAGAAATATACAGAATTCCTTGTTCTTTTCTTTCATAAAGGTCCAACCTGGTTTTAAAATGCACATCGATGTTTCTGGCTTCTATAGACTCAGGAAGTATTAGCTTTTCTTTTTTTCTTCCTTTTTAGTGAAATGGTAAAGTGAGAGTCAGTGTTCTGTTAACTTGGAATCATAGGTGGTCAGCCTGTGAGACTCTGAGATTCTTTGGTTCGAGTCTTCACATCAGATAAATTGAGGTTTGATGATTTCAATGGAACCTACAGTGCTAACTTAGGGCCCTGCATAGGAAGTAGTGGCCAGCAATTTTTCCCCCTCCTATAATTTTTAATCTTTTTTTAAAAATAGGGTTCATTTTTGGTAATGACTCTAATCTTTTTTTTTATATATTTTATTTATTTATTCATTAGAGACACACACAGAGAGAGAGGCAGAGACACAGGCAGAGGGAGAAGCAGGCTCCATGCAGGGAGCCCGATGTGGGACTCGATCCCGGGTCTCCAGGATCAGGCCCTGGGGCTGAAGGAGCCACTGAGCCACCCGGGCTGCCCTATCTTTTGTTTTATTTAAAGACATTTAGTTCCCTTTCTATATCTTACCCCTTTTACAGAACCTTTTGGGAAGATATTAGGTGTGTCCATGAATTGAAGGAAGTCACATCACTTGTGACAATGGATGGGAAGGATAATAGATTATTAATGTCTCTCTGTGCTTCAGTAGCCAACAATCCAAGGGTGGTGGCTCCTCTTCTCCTTCCAAAGTATTTTGGAAGTATGCCAGGGACCATTTTTGATGGTGTTAAAAACAGAGTGCATACAGTTGCTGGAGGGAAACTTTACTTTTCTAGGGAAGGAGCCAAGCAATTGAAAACTTAGAACTCTCACCCTGTTTTGTTAGATAATTATAACTTCAAAAAATGTGGTATTTTCTTCCCCCTTCCCACCAACCATTTATCTGGGAAGCCAGTTATTAGGGACTTCAGAAACTGCTCAGTGGAGCTGGGGGAAATGTAATTGGTCTAATGAAAACAAAAGATTTCACATTATAATCTCTTCCAAGTCATCCATTTTGTAGAAAACATTTTGGTAGCATATATCATACAGTTTTTCAAGACTTTTCCTCTTCATTTTTTTTTAACAGATTTAAAGTAGAACAAAAGTTAGACTTCAAAGAAGCTTTGTATTCTTTGAATATGACCGAAATATTTAGTGGTGGCTGTGACCTTTCTGGAATAACAGGTAGTGTGATAAATAATTCTTATATTATTATGTTAATATGCTTTCTTAGTAACTGTTAACGGACTGATCGGAAAGAGCATTTGGCCCCAGAAAATACATACACACACAGTGACTAAATGTCACAGTCATGTTGCGCTGTCTGTAAACAAGCACTTTATTTTGCATTTAAGTCATTTTCCTTAATGAAAGTCAGAAAGCATTTCAGAATGTTAGATAAGCCTTCTAACCATGCTTGTAATAAAACTATGTAGGTAAAGTATTATATGGGCTTTTATTTCAGCCCTGTTTGGATTTCCTTATCTGAATAATGGGAATTACGACTTTGAGACTCTCATCTACACGGAGCTAATAAAACTCTTATAAACCAATTTGCAAATGTTAATTTGGTAATATTGGAGCCCATGAAAGAGGCATCCACAAGCTGCTGGATGACGAACACAATGTAGAAATTGTAATGCCACAGCTTGCAGATTTAGCTTGAGACTAACAACACATCTGAGGAGATGAAGCTTTTATGCTAACTCACACCTGGGAAACGGCACATGGCTAAGACGCTCACTCACACAACAAAGCCCTAGACAATCTTTTATTTTTTTTTCCTGTCTTGGCAATACCGGTGGTTCAAAAATATCTAACTAAAGATAAAGAATAATAAAATAATAAAAATATCTAACTAAAGGGATCCCTGGGTGGCGCAGCGGTTTGGCGCCTGCCTTTGGCCCGGGGCGCGATCCTGGAGACCCGGGATCGAATCCCACATCGGGCTCCCGGTGCATGGAGCCTGCTTCTCCCTCTGCCTGTGTCTCTGCCTCTCTCTCTCTCTCTCTCTCTGTGACTATCATAAGTAAATTAAAAAAAAAAAAAAGCAGAAAAAAATATCTAACTAAAGATAAAGAGGGCCAATTCACCCCAAGTTTTTTTACTCTCTTTTAAATTCAGTCCTCTGTTTTATTAAAAGACCAAAAAAAAAAAAAAAAAAAAACAAAACGAAAAGCAAAAAACGACAAGCCTGTCTGTCTGATGGGGTTTTGTATCATAACATGGAAATATTGTGTATTCCTATGTAAATATCTGAGCTTTGGAGAAGTGTTCATTAATTCATTCACTCATCAATTACGTGGGTAAATGAATAGAATGAGCTTTCCTGGTGGAGGAGGTGGGTGGGGTACACTGGTGACAGATGTTCATTATTAGCTTCACACATAATTTAGCTACTTGTTCTCACACTGACAGATCTGACTTCTCTGACAATTCCATCAGCAATCAGGAATGAGGCCGTCGACGTTAGATACTGCCACGGCAGGCTATCTGCGTGTGCCCTGGAACACAGCCACCTCACCAACCTCAACTAGACCCAACCGTTTTTCAAGCACCTCTTCCCCTTAGCCTTCTTTCTGGCCTTCAGAAGCTCACTTGCTGTACATCAGACATTTCCGACAGCCACTCAATGTATGAATTCCCAACAATTTGTGACTTCTATAAAATCTCCTCTTATAGGCAGATTTATCATGAAAATACCTCCAAATGCTTTCTAAAAGGATTTGTGCAAGAGAATAACTTTAAACAGAGAAAAACAAACATCCAACCTTTTCTGCTCTTTCCCTCCTGGGAGAGTTGCCAATTTGAGTTGCTTTCACTACTTTGGTTCTAATTTACTGCCGGAAATAAAATAGCCAGAGCCATCACTGGCGCTATATCTGGTCATTAGGAGAACAGTAAGTTCCCTGCTCTCCCCACTTCTCACTTCTGCAGTAAACATTCACTAAAGCTACCGTGAGCCAGTCCGACACTAGTGCTGTGGGACATTTACACAAGACCTACCATCTTACACTTACCTAATTCACAAGCTTTGAATGAAATGTTTTCCGGCAGTCACTTTCGGAAACTTGGAGATGAATATTTGACTTCACAGTGGTATTACTTCTTGTGTTACCTTTAGTAAAACCTTTAAGCTGCCTGAGCCTCAACTTTCTAATTTATAAAATGAGATAATACATCGTAATGGTGAAAATAAATGAAAGAATGTATGTAAACCACTTTGTTCAACATCTGGCACATAATAGATACTAAGTAGATGGTAAAAAAACAAAAACAAAAACACCAAAAAGCCAAGTGGGGCAATGGCACATTACTATTTACTTGGACATCTTCTAGCAAAGCTGTAGAAGGCTTCTTGTGCTCTTAAGTTGACAGAGACATTCTTGGAATTTTCATAGAAAAGGAGGAAAATTATTACAAATGTGAAGAAATCAGTGACTTTATGGAGTCTAGTTTCCTTGTTCTCATCTATTCTCTGTCAGGTCCCATTCTTTTCCCGAAATCAGGCTTTATTTGTGGTAAGACAGGACACATGAGACCAGAGACTTAATCTGAGGGCCATGGAGTCACTTGACCTGGTACCAGTGCTAAACTGGGTGAAATTCTCCGCTGCACCCCACATGCTTTTTGTTCTTCACTTATGGCTTGATATGGGTCTCTAGGTCATCTTCTCTGGATTCCATATGTGAATCCTCATTTACTCTAGGCAGCCCTCAGGAAAGAGCCTGCTTACTTGCCTGATCTTGTACCAGATCATTCTCTTGTATTTCAAGATGTGTATGTCCCCTCTTCTCCATCTTATATGTTTCTATCATTGGACAAACTCATACCCATGGTTTAATTGTTTGATAATATTTTTTGTAAGCCAACCACATGCCAGGCAGTTCTATAGGGATGCATAAAATGGACAAAGTTCTGCTTCTAGTGAAGTATACATCTGCTGATGAATAATTAATAAGCAATTAGTTAATGAAATGCTGAGGTGATGGATGCTGTAAATTAACTAAAATAGCATCATGGAATAAATGGCGATGAGGTCAGATGAAGGCAGAATTAGGGTGGGAAGTAACATTTTTGTTGGGACCTAAAGAACGACAGAGCCAGTCAGGGAAAGTTCTGGGGAAGGGGGTTTTAAGTAGAAGGAGAGTTAGGGCTACGGCCTTGGTGCTTGATGATGAGCTGGAGCTACTAGATGAGGAGAGGAGAGTAACAGATGCAGATAACAGGTATTCAGGGGCCCAGATAGAGTGATGACAAGCAATTTGGAATTTATTTTTAGGAAGCCATTTTTTGTGCAAAAGTCCCTTCTATGACATCTCTTTATCTTGCCTGAGGGGCTTTACTAGTCGGTCAGCTGCCAGAGCTGGGTCCCCTTTACTATAAGGTATTGCTACCCGAATCCTTGTAAATCTGATGGTTTTGGTGGAGCCCTTGTGATCACATCAGGTTTCTCTCCCAAGAGAAACAAAGCTCCTTTTTCTCCTTCCTCTTCAAGTTTCAAGGCCCATCGTCCTTCCTCTACTTTCTGGCCACCACTGAACCCAAGACCACGCTTCCGTTGTCTCTTTGAGGAACACTGTCAGATCTAAGTGGTCCTGACACAGCGGGAATGGCTGATGGCTTCTGAACTCATGGCTTCACTTCCCCCTTCTCAAGAAGACTATCCCTGCGGGTCACAGGATCAGAAATGCTTCACACACACATCAGTTCCACCAAGGGGAGAAGAGGGGCATGTTCTCTCAGCTTGTATCCACACCGGAACAGAATGTTGTAAGACACTATCTTACACTGAGAAATTTGACAGGTTTTAAAGCATGGCTCTGAAGTGATTTTGTAACAGATGACAAAAAAGCTCTTTAGACTTTCATAGCCTCACCAGTCTTGAAAGAAAGTAAATTTTGTTTTAAAGTCAGATCAAAACTGAATACAGAATTTGAAAGGCAAGTTGGCTTTGAGGTTGAATACATAGGTGGGATTAATTCAAATCTGTAAAGCCTTTTTCATCTTGTCTGTGGACTGTCGCTAAGGGGGGCAAAACCTTCTGTCCATACAGATATTTCACTTAGTGGGATACCTGATTTGAGGCTTATCCCCTTCTATCTTTGCCTTTGTATCTGGGCTAAACTTGATCTCTCTCTACGGGTCTCTGTATCATTTCTGCAAGAGCTAAACTACCTTCCACCTCTAGCAAATTAACTAACTTGGGAAGAATTTGTTGTTTTTTTTTTTTTTCTGTTCTTTATTCTTTTGATAATGTGATATAACATGGGATGCAATAAGTGATGGGTCTGAGTTCTAATCCTTAAATACACTTTCCTATTTTCCAACAGATTCAGCTGAAGTGTTTGTTTCCCAGGTCATGCAACACATTTTTTTTGAAATAAATGAAGATGGCAGTGAAGCTGCAACAGCAACTGGTAGGACAAATGGTTTCATGATCGACCCAGAGGAATGACTAAGGGGAAATGTGCAGAATTAAGGCATTGGCATTTCTGCAGGACTCTGATCTCTTTTTTCTCTCCTGCCGTCCAGCAAACTGTAGGGAGAAAAGAGAAATTGGTTGTATACGCTCTGTTTGTGTCTCTGCAGCTGCTGCATAATAAAAAAAAAAGACCAGGGTGGGGATTTGATTAGGAGTTGAGGCCCATCTAATGATATTTGCTTATTTGTAAATTGAATTTTACCTGCCAATTAGGAGATAGGACCTGTGAGGGAAACTTAACCCTCACACATGAAATCATTATTGTTCAGGAATGCTTACTTTTAAGTAATTAATTAATTTCTTTCTTCTATTACACCAAGTAGGTCCCTACTTTTCTAATACTTTTATTTGTCATTACCTATACACCAGTGGCTCTTAAAGTTAGCTGCCTGTTTGAATCAACTGGAAAGCTTTTTAAAATCCTATGCCCAGTCTATCCCCCAAAACTAAATTAGTAAATTAATTAAATTAGCATCTCTGGAGGTGAAATCCAGACTCTAGCATTTTCTTACATTTCCCTAAGTGAATTTAATGTACATCCAAAGTTTAGAATCAGTGCCTGTCCTTGCTATTGCAAGTACAGTGCATGGACTAGAAGGATCAGCATTGCTTGGGAACTTGTTAGAAATACAGACTATCAGGCCCAACTCTAGACCTACTTAATCAGAATCTCTCTTTTCTGAGGTCTCTGGATGATTTGTGAACACATTACAATTTGAGAACCACTCCTTTATGATAGATTTCCCTGAATAAATGGCATTTTGAATGGTGTCTATGCTGCTTACAAGTAATCCTCAAAAAATAATTGGAGAAAATTTAATTAGAAATGCAAAAACAACTGGACGTTGTTTGATCAAATACAACAATGGATGTCTCATAAGTGTATTTTAATTCTTTAGACCATTTTGAGTTTAGCCAATATGTAAAAGATACGCATCCTTTAAGTTGTCATATTGATAAATTTCTATGAATTTGTACCCATGTTATTAATTTCTTGGTTAATTTATAATACTATGTAGCGCCAATGGATTTTGACATGTAGGTGGGTCACACTGGACTCCAGCTACCATTCTATCATCTCCTGAAGGCCTTGGCGTTACTGTATTCAAGGAACTGAGATTGGAGGGCATGGGCTATTTCAGTCTTAGAGAAATAAAAAGATTGCTTTGGATGAAGTTGTTGGCCTATGTAGACAAATTTTCCAGCTGCTTTTATGTAAGAGTCCTTATAGATCATTCTTTGATCCTCTCATTACATCGGTGAAGAAAGAGGCTCACAACATGAAATGGTTTGCCTACGGTCATACTATTAATTGACAGCTGAGTTTGAACCCTAATCAAGTTCTCGGACTTCAAGTTCAGAGCTCTTTCTATCACCCACTGCCTCTAATTTAAGTCTAGGGTTCTCTAAGAGGGTGTAACAATCATTAAGGGATCAGCAGTGACACTGGTGTATTACATGTCCGAATAGTTTTCCGTGTGAGTGTTTTGACTTTCAGGTATCTGATCAGGGGATGCTCAAGAACAAAAAAAATCTCAAGTATTCACCCAAGTGAGAATAGGAATGACACGGACTATATTTTTTTTTACATTCTCTCATAAATTCAAACCTAAGTCTATATTCACTTGTAGTTTGGGCATTGTAGCCCTGATCTTGCAGGTAGGAGACTGCTATGCGTTTTACACTACCAAGATTATGCTTGATTCTGAAGGGGATCAGAATATGCCACCCCAAAATAGACCTCTTTGCCTGAAGGGTTGTTTAGAGCTGAAGAAAATGGAGAAACAGCACAGAAAAACAGAGCTCTCTCTACTCTCCCCCGATTTGCCTAAAACCAGGGCATAAATTTCCCTTGTAAAGGTATCTTTCCTCCTCTCTACCAAAACAGAGAACAACCTTTATCACAAGAGATGATAGTTGGCACTGAAATGAGTCTGTTTAATAAACCTTATGAAATAACCCTCTCTTACTATTATTTTTTCCTATATATTTACCTCCCCATAATGTATTGCCCCAGAAGCACTCTACCCTGTTTTTTTTTTTTTTTTTTGGAGTTATTCTCCACAATTTACCACCCTTTGTTAAAAAGATAGATAAACCAGATAAACTGTCAAGCCTAACATTTTGCAGGGTATTTACTTTTTTTTCTGTGAAACTTCTCTGGGGATATAAAATAAACCATTTCTTCTGTTAATCTGTCTTTTTCAGTTTAATTGGCATACCCCAGTCACAAAGAGTGTAGAAGACAGGTTTTTTCCTTCTCTAACATTATTTTTCAGTTCTGATCACTTCTGTTGCAATTTTTTAAATGACTTTTTCCTGAGTCTGAAAATAATTGTACAAAACCATTGCATTATTGGTAAAGGAAACCTCTGAATTGAGTATAGAAATATTTAATTTTTTTAAAGATTTTATTTATATATTCATAGAGACAGAGAGAGAGGCAGAGACACAGGCAGAGGGAGAAGCAGGCATCATACAGAGGGCCTGATGTGGGACTCGATCCAGGGTCTCCAGGATCACGCCCTGGGCTGCAGGTGGTGCTAAACCACTGCACCACCGGGGCTGCCCAGAAATATTTAATTTTAAAAGAAAAGAAAATCATTTAAATTTTTACCCCACTTTAAATGTTGACAAATGCTACAATGGAGCCACATGATATACATTATTATAGTAAATAATTATTAAGGCAGAAAATCTCTTCTTCTAATCACATAAAAAATCCTATATTCATTCAAAGCACAAATCCTAAAAGCTCTGAGGCCACAGAATAGTTTCAGAAAAGTTAAAAAAAATAAATCTGAACTCAGATGTAATTACCACAAGCCTGAAGAATAGAAATAAAGTGCAAACAAATCTGGTTAAGAATTAATAGTTGAAACATTATAAGGATAAATCATATAATATAAATAAAAAGTGAGCAGAAAATTACTGTTTAAAAGAAGAAATTTTTCAACTGCTTTCACTAAATTGAATCTAGTATCTGGCTTTCTTCTTCACTGAGCATAAATGTGAAGTTAGAATTATTCCATGAATAATCCAATATTTGTTCTTCTGCTCTTTGATTTTTAAATTTATTCCAGATTTCTCCGTATTTTGAAAATGGTTATTTTTCTACAAGTTACCTCCTCAAACAAAATGACTTTTCTTGTCTACAAAAAGTATTTTGGGTATATTTTCTTTATTCATCCTTTAATGTGAACATCTAAATAACTATTGTCTCTATTTCACAGGTATGCACATCCCTGCAATCATGAGTCTGGCTCAAAATCAATTTATAGCAAACCATCCATTTCTGTTTATTGTGAAGAATAACCCAACAGGTATCTTCTCTAGAATTCTCTGGGGAAACTGCTTAAGTCAAACAGACCTAGTTCTAGCTGCTATTTGTAATCTAAATATCTGAGATCATTTATTCGTTCAATTTATTGAATCTATTTCGATTTTTCAATTTATTCTTTCAGTGGCTACTTGGCAAATGCCTCTTTTATACCAGGCATTGCATTTTAAGAAGTGACAGGGGCCTAAAATCGGGCCATGGTGGTAATAGCTGCCAACACAGCTATTACATATGTTAGCAATTTTAAATACCTATCTCTAAAGCTAACACCATTCCCTACAGGTTAGCTATTTGTCCAATAGCAACATAGAAGCTCAGAGAGAGGTTATATAATTTGTCTAAGCTCATACAGCTGGAAAGTAGCAGAATGGAAATAGGGCCTGTTAGTCTCAGAAGTCAACTCTTTGTGGTGCCACGAGGGGAGTAGAAATTGAGAGTTGAACAGTTGTGAAGATTTCAGAGATAGAGTCCAAAAGAATAAGTGACTAGCTTTAGGCTTTGAGCGGAAGGGAGAGGTCAAATATGAGTCTCCAGTCTGGGCAGTTCGTGAAAGATGATGCAATTAGCTACAAAAGGTAGAGGTAGTAGTAGATTGGACAGCATTTGACACAAAGGCAACGTGTGGCGTACTTGGCCATGTGCTCTGCACACAGTAATAGTATCCCTAGAGACTGGCAGTGTGAACTTGGGTGTCAGATGGGGCTCAAGACCTAGCTGTGTTACCTAATGGTTGTGAGACAAGTCAATTATACTTCCTAAGCCATATTTTCTCTACCTCCTATTTAAACATGATATTAGTACTCATCACCTAGAGTTAAATAAAAGAATATATGAAGCCTGTAAAGCTATGCCTGGCATGTAACATTCATTATGAACAAACAATAACTATAAATGAAGGAATGACCAAAGGAAGGAAGTAGAATGGAGAAGTATGGTAAAGAGGCCTAGTTAATTTTAGATCTGAATCTATTGGATTAGCCAATGATACTGATATTATTGGCCCCCTGAGGGAGATATCCATCTATTTTTAGGCAACAAGAAACCAATGCGGAATGACCCTTCTGAAAGTTATGTCTTAGAAATAATGAGATAGTTTTAGGTTTGCTGAGATTGCATTAACAGGACTTCAATTCCAACGATGGACGTGTCAATGTTAAAAGATATTCTGAGTGTGCCATTTGATCTATACATCCTTAACCTTTAGATAACTCTAATTTCTTGCAATTAGTATGTAATTATCGAGTATGGAGAATAGAAAGAAATGAAACTTCATTGGACATCAATGCACAAGGAAATAATAGCATTTAGAATATGGTCGACTCTCTATTTTCCAAGTTGATGACCAAGGCCATGTAATTGCTATCAGTTAAACAGCAGTGAAAATTCTCATCCCCAAATAATCCATTTATTTATTTATTTGTGATAATGCTTAACTATCAGACTTTAATGACAATTTCTACTGTCTCACGATCTTTATTGTAATGAGACTTTCTAAACTAGAGTTGCTCCCTTTAAGTATTGTTTAAAATGAATGGCTACTCATTTGTCAGCGGCTGTAAATTGTTCCCATATAAAATGTAGAATGGGCCATTATCTTAAGACAATACACATCCAGTGATTTATTTATTTTTCTCTCACAAATGAATTGAGGAAATCCTTGAGATTGACAGAAATGGTGCCTTAGCATAGCATAGTAAACTAAGTGGCTCATGCTTTACATAAAATATATTATTTTCATGATTTCTTAAGTAAGAGGATGAATAATTTTACATTTAGTATAATCCATTTTTATCTAGATTTAAAATTTTCTTTCAGTCAAATAGTCCTCTTGGGCAAAATCCAAACATTTTTTGTATTTTTCTATCATGTTAGTGTTATATTCAGTTTATTCACCCAAAGCTCTTACTAAACTGAACTTCCAGGGAGATGAAGAACATTTTTTCTTCGTGGGGGCAGGCCAGTGTTAGAGACTTTCAGATGCTATCTGAAATGTGCCATTTCTCAGAAAGTGAATCATGATTCTGAAACTGACAGTACTCTACACACAACAACAAAAAATATATATGTTGTGTTTAAAACTCTAGTTTTAGTTTGAAAGAAAAAGGAGACAACAGGGTATCCATTGAGAAGTCTTTCTTCTAGGCTCTTGGCTTTGGTTATGCTAGTGTGTTTTAATATTAGGAAGTACAAATTACTTTTATCTGTTTGGAATATTATATACATATGTTGGTTAAATACAGAGGACACCCCTTTGAGAAGGGGGAACATAGAGAAAAATGGAACAATAATGATTTCTGCTTCAGCTTCCCTCTCCATCTTTTGCTGTTATGTCCAGGAAGAGTGCACTAATCCATCCACTTTAGTGGAGAGTAGATTAATGACTGCATAAGGACTCCATTGAAAACATAGTACTCCTTGGTCAAAGAAACAGATTGAAAAGGCTGGGACAAATGGCTTTTATGTAACGCCCTACACTTCTGAGTGTTTACAATTTTAAACTGTTGTCTTCAATTATGAGGTTAGTTTCCCTAAAAGTCGCTTTAAAAATTTGCCAATTAATTCCTATAAGCAATTTAATGCCATAAAATTATAAAGAGACAACAGTCCTTGCTGATTCCTATTGTGACAAAATGCAATATATACATCCTGAGCAAGTTGTTTATGGGTCCCCATCTACCCAAAAACAGGAGTATTTTTCTGTTTCTTGGAATTATTTTGAGGTTTTTGAGGTGAAGTATTATTGATTATAATCACTAAAAGAAAAAAAAACTGCTAGAGATTATGTCTATTTCCATGCTACTGGCTCTCTTTGGACTGAACAGTAAAGAGTTAATGAAATATCTAATAATAATATCTAGTAATTCTTTCAAATATATCTCAATATAATTTCCATTAGATTTAAAATTATACAAAATTTATTTTATCACTTTGAAATTCACATTTATTTCGTGTATCTGTAAGGAACATAAAAGTCAAGGCAATACTTGGCATCAACCCATTCAAGCCACTTCTCTTACCCTAGTTGAAAAGAAAGGTGAATGGATTTTGACACATCCTTTATTTCTGTTTTGTCCTCTAGTTCCTAATTCCTTTTCACTCACAAACACAGAATGGCTGGATTCAGGTGTTTACATTTCTGCTGTATTACAATTTCGCTTTAGTGAGGATTTGAAAGTACTAGCAATAGAAAATATTGTCTTTTTCAGTAAGCTTTGCTTCAGAGCTGAAGGAGGACATCTGAGAAGCTACACTCTTAACCCTAAGGGCTTATGTTACATGCATAAAAAGATGACTGCTAATGCCTTAAATTTAAAACTCCACCATGTTAATCACCATTTCATTACGCTACGTTTGCCTGAGTCTCTATATTTAGAAGAACACCCCTCTGCTGCTTTATTTTTGCCTTCCTATATGAAAAACAGGACTAATGCATTTTCCGTGACAGGCTGTTGTTGGTGTTAATTTACTTCATAAATTACCAGAAAATGATTAATAATGATATAATTATGTATTTTAGACCAAGGAGAGGGTTTTGCTGTTAGACGTTGCCTATTTATCTTTTACAGAAAGAAAGACTAAATGACTTGTTAAAATATTCAGAAAGACTAATTATTGTCAACTTTTTCACCAGAAATTCCAAGTTGTTTTTTTTTCCTTTTCCCAGAATCAATTTTGTTTATGGGAAGGGTGACAAATCCTGACACCCAAAAGATGAAGGGAAGAGATTTAGATTCACTGTGATTGAAAAGAACAGCCTCAGAATGGAAGATGATTCCTGAAAAATAGTCGATTGGCAAAATATCATCATCTTGCAAATATTCTCTACATCTCTTTTTCTGTTTTAACTATATGTGTATCAATCTGTACTAATATAGATCTGTATTAATGAATAATTAAAGTTATTAATAAATGAAAGTATTCATTTAATATTTCTGGTTATGTTTTATAAAGTCTATATGAATCAAAAGCAGTAATCTTACATAAAATATTAGTATTAATATGTTAGAATGGGGACACCTGGGTGGCCGAGTGGTTGAGCCTCTGCCTTTGGCTCAGGTTGTGATCCTGGGGTCCTAGAATTGAGTCCTGCATCAGGCTCCCTGCAGACAGCCTGCTTCTCCCTCTGCCTATGTCTCTGCCTTTCTCTGTGTGTCTCTCATGAATGAATAAATAAAATCTTAAAAAAATACATTAGAACAATCTTGTCTAAGATATTTTGATACCGAATTTCTATCTTAGATATCAAAGTCTCTGTATTCCTAAAAAACTGGGCCATCTAACTCCCAGGCATAGCAGCATTAGTCAGACTGTGCAGAAGTAAGGTCAAGAGACAGAATGGGAATAGTGTGTGCCTCTCTGGGGGCCACTTAAGATACAGAGTTCCCATAACCATGACAGTAATGAGCTTTGAGTATTTTACTAATCTCAACTTAATGGTTTGTTTTGTTTTGTTTTTAATTCTAGTTAGTTAGCATACAGTGTTATATGAATTTCAAGTGTCAATATAGTGATTCAACTATTCTATATGCTACCTGGTCCTCATCAAGACAAATGCACTCCTTAATCCCCATCAGCTATTTTGTTCATCCCCTCACCACTTCCCCTTTGGTAATCATCAGTTTGTTCTCTGTAGTTAGGAGTCTGTTTCTTGGTTTGATTGCTCTCTCTCTTTCTCAATGAATGGATAAAGAAGATGTAAGATAGATAGATAGATGATAGATATAGATATATAGCATATACATAAGTGGAATATTATTCAGCCATAAAGAGAGTGAAATCTTGCCATTTGCAATGACATGGATAGAGTCAGAAAGTATCATGCCAAGTGAAATGAGTCAGAGAAAGAGAAATACCATATGATTTCACTCCTTTGTGGAATTTAAGAAATGAAACAAATGAGCAAAGGGAAAAAAACATAATTTTAACTCCATGCTTTAACATTTAATATTTGCCATTGTTTAATACCTTTAAGGTCATATCTATTTTCCTCTTCTGATTTATGCTTTAAACATGTATAGGAAAGTAAAATAATGAGAAGTTTTCCTATGCATGAAAGTGGCAGCTAAATTAAGATGATTTAGGAAGCTGACCTTCCAAGATTTTATAACACTGAAATAAGGAAGTGTTAGAGCCAAGATTGTAATCTGTAAAGATTAAATGCAGAACCCTTTCTCTGAAAACCCTGAAATGTCAGATCCAAATATCCAAAAGAATACTACATTCCAATGACTCGATATAACAGTTTCACAGTTTTTCCATTTTCATGTTAATGAGAGAGAGTATCCTTTTGTTTGTTGGCTTTGGCAAATCTTAGCAGAGAATTTCATGGTAATGACTACCCATTGTTGAGTTCTAATTATGTGTCAGACACTGAAGTAAGCACTTCATCTACATTACATTAAACATACTAAAAACCCTGTGGAACATTATTACCCACCTTCCAGATGGAAGAACTGAGGCTCAAAGATGTCTTATAAATTAGTCAAGGACACATAGCAAATAAATATGGTGATCTTCACAGTATTCCCAAGTTTGAAGCCAAGACTATCTCAGTGAGAAAACTGACTATAATCTCTGAGTTATAATCCCTTCTACTGAAGTCCTTCATTATTATTATTATTATTTTGAAGATTTATTTACTTATTTTGAGAGAGAGAGAGAGAGAAAGAGCAAGGGGAGAAGCAGAAGGAAAAGGGAGAGAATCCTCAGGCAGGCTCCCAGCTGAGTGCAGAGCCTAATTCAAGGCTTGATCTCAGAACCCGGAGGGGAAATCATGACCTGAGCAGAAATCAAAGTTGGCCGCATACTTGACGTACCTTCCAGGTACTCCCTGTGTAAATCCTTTGAAGTAGTATAGGTCTTCCCCTGAAATATTATGCTATCTAGTCTCCAAAGTCTAGATTTCTATCTACAGGAAAACCTAGAACAATACTCCTGACGTTATGAAAACAACTTTATAATTAATTATGATTGCTTAAAACCATAACATAATTGAAAGCAATATTCATTTTTCTAGAATGCCAACTTGAGCTTACTTAGCTATAGCACAGTAAATGCTAATCTATATGTTAATGATGTATCACAAGTTTGTTGCTCATCATGGAATGGATTTAAAAATATGCTTCCTCAGTTCAGGAAGAAGAGAATAATAGGTAGTTAGGAGGATAGTAGTTTTAATCAGGTCTGCCCAAATTCCTGTTTCCCTTGGAATACCTCAGTCTTAGGATCCTCCTCATGTGTACCATGTGAGTTTGCTCTGGAGATGTATTTATTTTTTCCAGAAATACTGAGCTTCCATCATGTTCCAGGCATTGCTATAGAAACCAGGGCTATACCAGTGAACAAATCTGACAGGGTCTCTGCCTTCAGGGAGCTGACATTTTACTGGTGGCAGAAGGACAATAACCACTGAATAAAACAGGATAAGGAATTAAGAAGGGTTTTCTAAATGAGACAATGTAATAAGGTGACTGCCCAAGTTTCACTTTAAGTAGTTTTTTTCATAATATTTTCCTCACATACTTGCTTTTCCTCACTAAGATCTGCTAAATGTCTGCCTCAAGTTCCTTGCAATGGAGAATTGCAAGGAACTTGCACTATCAAATGTTTTTCTTCTCTGATTTCATGTTCTGTACTTGGTTATGTGTTACTTGCCTTCCAAAAGGAGCATGTTTAAGCTCCTCATAGAAGAGAGGGTAGCTTTCTGGTGTGGGTTCCAGCTGAAAATACCCCTCCCACCTGTTCAAGAAACATAGTTGCCAAAGCACTTTCAAGATTAAAACCATTAATCTTCATCTTCAATGAAATTAACTCAGTAGTTATTATAGCTCCACATCACAAAGGTTAAACATTTCTGGAACATATTTATAAAAGATATATATATATATATATTTATATAAATATTTATATATATAAAATAAATATGAAATAATTTTCTTTGCCAAACTATGTGAAATTCTTAAGATCACAACAGTACATAATCTGTGTGGGATAAAAATACGGTCAAATAAATATCCTTTGAAAAAAATCTGATCCATCATACATATATCACATATACATTTTTTTTTCCTTCTTGAGACAAAATGGCCATTAAAGTAGTAGTATTTTTTGGAAACTTTGGAATTGGGTTTATTGACTTCACATAGTTATCATTCATGACATTTTTTAGAGGAAGGAGTCTGCTACTTCAGGCAGTGGGACCTTGGGAGTCAAAGACCTGAGATTTTTCTTGAGTGAGGGTGAGATTTATAGAATTTCCTGAATTGGGTAATAATGATCTAGAAATCTAGAAGGACACAAAGAGAAATTAGGCAGGTTTTCTTAGAAGTCAGTAGTTTGAGTTTCTGGAAGTAAGATATATTCTCCTAGGAGGGCCTTGCATCGTTGAGACATACCCAGTGAGGGGCTGACCCCTGAGCTGTGTGATGCCTGAGACTGACTCTGTGCACAGGGTGGAAAAGTGGACATACTGTAATCTGTTGTTTGTAAAAGCAGTTTTTCCCCCCTGTATTTCATTTCTTTCTTTTTTTTCCTGTTTCCTTGTATGATCAACTCCAAATAAACTCTGAAGTTCTAGAAGCCAAAATCAGTTTGTTTTTCTTTTTCTTTTTCATGCCTCAAGTGACCACCCTGATGGTATAAAGGAAGTGAAAGATGAGACATTTTTCACTGTCTAAAATTATATTTTTGGCTTGTCACTTCAATTCTCTGGGGCTTTGATATCCTCACCAGTACATTGAAGGGCTGGACAAATCTTATTTTAAATCTTTATTCTGAAGTCCTATGTTTGTAAATCTTGGACTTCTCAACAAAGATACATTTCTGGAATAATGTCTTTTGAGTCACTGTTATCTATAAACAGTGGGTTTTCATGAAACCAACAAAAATTCTAGGATGTGCCTTTCACTATGATCTTGGTCTATCACATTATCCTTAATGTATTTACAGTTGTCTTTTATAGGTGTGAGGTTCAATTTTTAAAAACAGTATATATAAAACAATTTTACTCTTGCGGCAGAGACCTCTACATAGTGAAGATTTTTGATGGTGGGCTTCCTCGGGATAGAGCTGCTGCTAGGCAGTGGTGGCCTGGCTGGAGACGTCGTTTCACCCGTCATTGCCTTTATCTGAGTGGAGCCTTGCAATTAGTTCTCATTCATGGAATTGGAATGGAGATGAGTGTGTCACTTGTGAGCCCAAATGATTAAGAACCAAGTATTCCTCTTTAACCTTTCTCTTCTATACCATTGCGATGTCAATGTTGAAAATGTCAACCGCCGACCCTGGAAACTATTTAGAAGATGAGAGAGCCCATGTTAGCCTGGGTGCCTCTGTCACTGTGTGTGGCAGATCCTCTCTGCTGCCAAAGCCACCAGGAACAGTCACTGGCATTGCACCGTGATGTGAGCAAGTGTTACAGTTTCATTGAAATTTTTTAAAAAATATTTATTTATGAGAGACACCAAGAGAGAGGCAGAGACATAGAAGGAGAAGCAGGCTCCCTGCAAGGAGCCTGATGTGGGACTCGATCCCAGCACTGAGCTGAAGGCAGTAGCTCAACCTCTAGGCCACCCAGGCATCCCATAGTTTCATTGAAATTTAAGGAATTTTAATGACAATAGTAAATTAACTTAGCATTTTTGATGGGGTGCTTCTATAACAAGCTACTAAAATACATAATTCAATGAGGAAAGAAGCCAATGAGAAAAGATTACACTGAAAATCCAAATAAAGGGGCACCT